TTATTATGGTTTAGTATTTAAATATATGCCTGAGAAACACATAATACTGGCCTTTTAAAAAAGCTCCACTTTAAACCTGATTAGGACGGAGTTAGTTAAAAGGAGACCTGTTACTTTGGAATTATATGTGCCTCCTCTTTTGTGCAACTGAATCCAGGATTAATTATTCCAGGATTACATAAAAATCCAGGCTTAATCCTTTATCCAAGTTTTGTGCAACAGGCCCCTGCTCTTCTATGTCTGAAAGTTTATTCTAAGATAAAACATACCTGAGCTCCTCTGTCGTTCACTAATTCCACTGACCATCTTCCTTCATACTGGATCCAAACAAAAATCCCTCCTTCCATGTCACAGGTGGCCAGCTTCTGGAAGGGCTCGTTCCAACGCACCAAGACAACCTTTAAAGAAAAAACAAAACCAACTATCACCCAGTTGAGTCTCAGCACAGAGGAACCTTCATGATTAATATTCAACTTAGCTATGAGGACAAAACTGATAGATTTTGCTCTAACAAGAGTTCTGATATTAAGTAAAGGAAGGCACTTACAGGCAGAGTCTGGGACACTTTCCTCATTTTCTTCTTTAGAGCTTTCTGTCTGAGCAGCAGATTCTCCACTTTTTGTGACTTGTTCAAATTGATACGGCTAGATGTTTTTTTTATCTTTAGTTACATAGTGAAATTCGATTCAGTATCATAGATGGATGTTAGAAGCCGATCTGGCTTCGATTGATATGTGTGACATCACATAGCAACAACTGTTTACCTTAGAAACTAATGCCCCTTTTCCACTAGTGCCTCTACAGCACGATTTGACTTGGATCAGCTCTGTTCAGCACAGTTCGGGTGGTTTTCCATGACACTTCAGGAGCAACTCTAGTGGGTTGGTTCTGGGCGGTCCCAGAGTCTGAAAATTGACACTATACACAAGACATGAAGACAGAGCAGACTTTCTTCAAAACAGATTCACACCACTGGAAGAAACTGATGAGTCTGAATAAAGTTAATTTTCTGATCTCAGAGAGGGACCTGAGTCCAGGTTCAGCTCAAAGCCAAAAAAAAAAAAAAGTCAGAAGAGAGACTTTCAAGAATCAAGAAATACTGATAATCACAGGTAAAATGGTGAATGAGATCAGAGGCTTCTGGAACAAAAAAAGTCAAATTTCTGAGTTTTGCTGATAAAGTGTCTGACCTCGCAGAGAAGATTCTGGAAATCACAGCTGAGTATCCAGCTCTGAAGATGCTCATCATTCATACAGGAAGTGATGAAGTGATGAACCGACAGTCAGAAATCCTGAAGAAGGATTTCATTCAGTTGCTGAATGTAGTTAAAGAGTAACTTACCCCAAAATTAACTTTTTTTAGCTGATAAACTGTCTAGAATGTGTCTAAAATGTTATATAGTACTGTTT